CAAAGTCAGACGTCTATGGGGATGACTTAGTTACTTTTCTCCTGATGTGATAAAAACACCATGACCAAAACCAACTTGGAAAGAGGTTATTCCAGTTTACACTCCCAGATAACAGTCCACCACTGCGGGAAGCCAAGGCAGCAGCTCAAGTCGGACCTGGAAGCAGGAACAATGCAGAGACCATGGAGAAACCACTGCTTACTGTATGGCTGCTCATGGCTTGTTCAGCTTCCTTTCTTATACAACTTAGGACCACCTACCAGGGAGTGGCACTGCCCCTCTGTGTAGGTGGGCCCACCCACATCAGTCAACAACCGAGAAACTACCTGACATGCCAATCCCTATAGGCCGGTCTTATGGGGGCATTTTCTCCATTGATAATGCTCTTCCCAGAGGACGCTAGCTTATGTCAAGTTGACCAAAAAAATGGCAGGTGGTCTCAGTGAACTAAAATCAGAGTGACAGCCGGGCTACACTGCTTTATGGAACCTCCTGGAGAGCCCTGCTTTGGCTCTCCCAGCTTCCACAGCTGCTGCCATTTCTGCATGTTCTCCCATCGTCTTTGCCCGCAATGGCCAGTGGAGTCTTCCACAGTAAATAGTAATGCTTCTTCCCCCTCCACTCTTCCAAGGATCCTCAAGTTTATATTACACCCTTCCCTTGGAGAGCCCAAATAATCTCTCTGTTCTAAGTAAACTGATCAGGACTTGAGTTTCCATCTCCTATCTTAATTCTCTTTTGCCACACAACCAAACACAGTCACAAATTCTACTGATGAAGTAGAACATCTATAACATGAAGTCATTATCTGTCCTCCTCGGGACTTGGCTTCTGTTTCAAGAGTGGTCACGAATTAATGCAATGGCAGGTGGGGAAGTCTTACGGATAAGCTGAACTCGGGGATCTATCCAAATTGGCTACCCACTACCATGAGAGTGGAAGCAAGTGAGACTTGCTTCACTTTTGCGTTTTTCTTCACACAGCTGTTCAGTTTCCCGGAGCTTACCCAAAATCATGCATTTACAGAAATGAATGGAGCATGAACAAGGTCATCTCACGCTCCAAATTTTAGGAAACTTCTGGAAATCTCCAGCAGATCCTCTCCCCTCGTCTCTTACCTATGCCTAAGAGGGCTTCAGATCCTCTTTTCATCCCAGTAGCTCTCTGTGCTTTAGAAACCTTCTGACTAGGACTCTGTCCTCAAACCTACATGAAAATACCCCTCCTCTACCCTCTGCCTCCAGAGATCATCAAAGGGGACTTTTTCTGGCATAACTGCTGACCTCTGCCCATCTCCATCAGTGTGAGGCCCTAAAAGAGCAGGTCTGTTCCTAGCAGAAAGAATAAGTTAATGAACTCAGCAGTCGCTAATTCCTTACTTCCTACAATACAATAGCATTTCTTTGCCTCTTAAACACCATTTCACAGGAAAGATAAAAGAGGTAAAGGGGAGGAAGAAAAGAAACAGAAAGAGGATTTAAACTGAAGGGGAATGGAGTGGGACTGAGTAGAGCCTTCCCATTCTGCAGCTTCCCATTCTTCAAAGGCTTTGTCTTTTCAGATACATTCATTAGTATTCCAAATACCCCTCCTCCTCATCCTCCTCCTCCTCCTCCTCCTCCTCCTCCTCCTCCTCCTCCTCCTACACTTCCTCCCTGCCTCCAACCACAATGCCAGGGCTGTGCTGCAGTTACACCAGTCCTTTAGGCACGACCATAAAACCAAAGATTCCACCTGTGTTCCCTCACTTCTTCCAAACACTTGACGGGACTGGAGAGCTGGCTTTGTTGGGAGCACCCTTGCCACCCAAGCAAGGGGACCTAAGTTTGAATTCAGCATTCACAGAAAAAGTCAAGTATGGCTGCGAGAGCCTGTACCTCCATCCCAGGGGAGCAGAGACAAGTGGGTCCTGGGAACTCAGGAGTCAGCCAGCCTATCTGAAATGGGAAACTTCAGTCAGAAACTTTGTCTCAAGAAAAGAAGGCTGAGAAAAATAGCGGACACCATGCACCCTCCTCTGGCTTCCACATGGCTGCACACTCATGTGCGTGCATGCTGCACCACACACTCAATGAAAAACACGACTGCACACCCATGTGCATGCACATTACACCACACTCAACGAAAAGAAAAACTTTCCAGGTATCAAGTATCCCAGCTGTATATTAACATTTAGAGACACTCCTTGTTTCTTCTGATTACATCTCAGGAAGTGAACTACATCACTTCTTCATGACCGCAACCCCAAAGTCAGGGGAGTATTGTCATTTTTTTTTAACTATTTTTATCTTATGTGTATGTGTGTTTGCCTGAATGTTTACATGAGTACTACACGTGTGCAGTGCCTGCAGAGGCAAGCAGATGGCACAGGATCCCCTGGAACTGAACCTATGGTACGGTTATAAGCTGTCATCTGAATGCTTGAAGCAGAACCTCAGTCTTCTACAAGAGCGGCCAGTGCTCTAACCACTGACCCACATCTCCAGCCCCAGAACATTATCATGTTGAAAGTTACTGAAATTTAGTCAACATTAGCAAACAAAATAAGTTCAGCACTTCAGGGACTCTAGAGCAGTGGTTATCAACCTGCAGGTCACCACCCCTTGGGGGTTTAACAACACTTTCACATGGGTCACCTGAGACCATTGGAAAGCACAGATATTTACATTACGATTCATAACAGTATAAAATGACAATTATGAAGTAGTAACAATATTAATTTACAGTTAGGGCCACACAATATAAAGAACTGGATTAGAGGGTCTCAGCACTAGGAAGATTAAGAACCACTGCTCTAGACTTCTATTATGAATACTGTTTTCCCCTAAATATTAATATTTAATTGACTAAATTACTGTCTTATTTTCTATTAGAAGTAATCGCCTTATTTGGCTCTACAGTCTTCATGGAGTCTGTTTAAGTTCACGTAGTCTTGAGAGCTCTTTCTCTCTCTCTGCTCCACCTTCAGAACTCTCTCTCTCCCCCTCTCTATCTCTCTCTCTCTCTCCCTCCCCCACCCCCATCTTCCCTCTCTGTTCCATCTCTGTTCTGCCTCCACCTTGGCTTGTGCATTCCACTGGCTTCCCTTTAAAACAGATTCTCACTTTCTTTATATCTTTAAGGATCCTATCTACTCTGTCTTGTATAGTGTACATGAATTTTCAAAGGAATTATTTAAACAGAAGAGAAAGAAAATTTCTACGGTGGACCAAGGTTTGTGAGTAGATCTCTGCCCACCGCTGTCTTGTACACCTGTCCTTTCATTCCCCCATCAATAATCCTATCTTTCAGTTATCTAATATGTGTGATCTTGTCACATATCAGAACTTACAGCCCAGAATAAGGGAACAGAAACACTAAATGTCATATATATGCACATATGCACATATTAGATATATACATACATATATAAACATAAATATTATGGGAGTTTATAAAGCAGTGAATTTCTTTCTAGTTCTCAGGGAAGACTCCTGAAACACGGTAGGCATGAGTGGAGCTTGGAGATTGACAGATTTCAACAGCTTCAGTGAAGGACTCATCATGTAGCGGGGGCAAGACACAGAGGAGATGGGTATATTGCTTTGAAACTTTGATTCCACCCCAAACTCAGCTTCCATTGGCCTAAATCTGACAAGTGTTTCAGGAGGTGAGGAGATGGGCTCCGTGTTCCAACCTGTTTCCTTGATAACTCAGAAAAGCTCTACTTTTCAAAGGGCACCAGAACCCAAAGTTCAGAAAATAAAGATGGCCTCTTCTCTTCTCCCCTCACCATATCACCTGACACAAGGGCATGAAAACACTCTAATTTTCCTCAGGACTTTATGCAGGAAAAAGTTTCATTTCTGCCCTGTGAAATGAAAGTGACACTGTGCGTCTCAACTTAGAGCCCTAAGTCTAAGCTGTCTTCTTTGGGTCTGACTTCCATGTCTGCCTCCAGGCCAAGAGCAGTACCTTCACTGTCTAGAGCCAAGCCTTGAACTAGTCTAGACAAAATAAATGGAGGGGTTTTCTGCTTCATGCAGGAACATCCAGTGGAAATGTTTGAAATAAACCATACCAGTCCTTAACTCAGACAGACCCCAGGCCTTAGGCATAGATTCTTCCTACTGGCAAAGAGAGATGAGCAAGGTTGATCTTATCTCTCCCTGCATCCTGAGCCAATGTGAGTAGACAGGGCACCTCAGCCCTGCTAACAGACAGATAACATTTTATGGACATTCCTTTCCTGCTGCCTGTAATGAAAGCTCTGAATGGAGCCCCTCCCTGCTGAGGTCTGGTGAGAACCCAGAGGCCAAAATGCAGGCTGATTAACAGGCATCACAAGCAGTGACTCAAACGGTTCGTGATTTCAGATGAAGCTTGTTATGGTGACTCCACAATTAGGACTTTAGCCCACGTGGCCCACCAGTCCTTCAGGAGGCCATACCAAGCATGGTATAAAAGTCCCCACCTTCCTCGATTCCACAATCCACATCCTTCGTTGAATCTTGTTGAAGAGCAGGTAAGCATTCTCTCTCTCTCTTTCTCTCTCTCTCTCTCTCTCTCTCTCTCTCTCTCTCTCTCTCTCCCCCCTCCCATGTGTTCCATCTCTTGGAGGCCACTATTCTGTTCCTATCTTAGACTAAACTTTCTACAATTTTTTTAGACATCTTGCCTTTTCAATGACCACTTTTAACTATCTCATGTATTCTGTTTAGTGTATTGTAGCTGACTTTATAGATTATTAGTTCAGTTCTGTGGTAGGACCAGAGCTTTCAGCTTGTGTCTATCCAGACAAAAGCCAGGATAATATTTTCATCTCAGAAACAAGTGTCAGAGGGAGCTGAGCTAGGGATGTAAAAGAAATGAATAAAAGTCAGTCTGGGAGGTAATTATCTTCTCCTCCATCCCTCTCTCAATCCTCACCCACCCACGCCTTTCAAGTTCCCAGCTTGGTGCTTTCAGTGTAAAACAACTTAAATCCTCTGTTTATTCTCAGGATCTTCAAATCACCCAAGATGTCTTTCAGTGATCAACAGTGCAAGCAACCATGTGTGCCACCTCCAAGTCTTCAAAAGACCCAAGAAAAGTGCCAGGCACAAGCTGAGGAAGTGTGTGTTCAGGACCCCTGCCAAGACAAATGTCCCCTCCAAGCTCAGGAGGTCTGTGATCCTCAGTGCCAAGAGATAAGCCAAGGAGCCTGCCCACAGCAAGGCCAAGATCCATGCCTACCTCCAAGCCAAGATCAGTGCCTGCCTCAGTCTGCGGAGTCGTGCCAGGAGCTAGCCCAAACAAAATGTGTGGAGGAGTTCCCGCAGAAGGCCCAGGAGCAGGCTTCCTCCCAGGGCAAGGCAAAGTAGCTGGTCATGTGCCACCTGGAGTCAAGAAGATGGCCAGCAGAAGAAAATCCAAGCCCAGTCCCCGCTCGGTGACCTTCTCCTGTGGATATCTCCGTATAATACCTCTTCTTGTCTCCTGACTTCCTCAGTATTTCAGGACTCGGTCTGTACCTCTGAAGATAGCTCTCTGATTCTTATCAACCTCTGTGAATGAGTCCTCTTCTCTGCAGCTGGTGGATGACCTCTAGTCCAGGAGAGGTGGGGCTGTCCAGGGAGACCACCAAAGCCTAACACAGCTCTCTTGCGGCAAAAATTCAACTAGCCCTTAGTACCCAATGACCAAGGATGCCTTCCTCCCTCTTTCAGAGTGCACGGCTTTCTTTCAAACCTCAAAAGAACCTGTAATGGCTTCATGCTGGCTATCAACACTACAGCAGGTGTTAAGAAGAGGCCGGTGGTGTTACCAACTCAAAAATCGGTGTTACTGTTTCTGCATCCTAACAAAAAATGGTTAGACATTGTAATGTGGTTTGTGCTTTGTAAAATTGAAACAAAATGTTTTAAAAGATTGAATTCAAACAGTCAATAAGGAAACACAAGTGGGAAGCTTGGGACCTCTGTCAGTCTTGGTGCTTCATGGATGGTCTGCTTTGAACCATTTGGCTTGAAAGGGCTTTGGATGCCGTGTATGGTCTTTAGTTAGTGTCTCTGTGACAGGAAGTGGCTCGTCCCCAGCTTCCTTGCCTTTCTCTCCTTGGTGAAAGTAAAATATGTAATAAAGCTATTCTTAAAACTGACGTGCTGTGTGCCCTTCCCTCACCTCTGCTGTTTCTGTGGCAACGATAGTCTCCTTTTGGAAGGAGATCTGGGGGAAAAAATAAAAACATCTCACAGGTACACAAGACAGCAGCAGCAGAGAGAGAGAGATCCCCTTTGGAGCGTGTAGACCAGCCCACTCAGCCTCTCCAGGTTCATCTACACACATACTTCACATATTAGACAACACACCAAAAAGCTGACATCTCCCCGCCCATGCTGAAAGCCTCGGACCGGGTCCTTTACACTATAGTCTGTTTGCTCTTTGGCCTCTTTCCAGAGGAAAGGACTGGATTGGAGGGAAGACAGTTGTCTGGAAGAGGTACCCCAAATAAACACACCAACAGCCACAGACATCAGAGAAAATAAAGGCGATTACAGGAAATACAACCTAGGTGGCCTGGCTTTGTCCTGGTGCTCCCTCACCTAGGAACAGAACAGAGCTGCAAACGTGTGAGAGGCCAAGGAAACGCTGGGCTGCTATGAAAGAGCCAAAGACTGTTTCTTCATGAGTGCTCTCACCTGTGGGGAAGGTATAGCAAGGCTTGGCCTCAGAACAGAACGGAAACTCCTTACCCAACCCCCAACTCCTCCCCACTCAGTCTTGAGAGAAGGAGATGGGAGGCCATGTGGGGTCCACTCCCAGCTGTTTAACTCAACTGAAGACTCCTGGCACATGGATCATACTGGTCTCTCAGACTTAGAGATTTTCTAGAATAAGTCACAAATACGACAAAATTTGAGGAAAGGTTTCAAGAGGCCATGTGGAACCATATGTTATTATGTGTGGATAGTCTAGGCCAAGTCCTGAGGCCTGTGTACATTCTCAACAAGACCCTCACACAGATTCAGGAAGGTCAGTCACACTCTGTTAAGGAGCATTCTTGACCTTGCATAGGGCCCCATAATTCTAATGCAGGTGACTCTGACTCCTTAACACAGCCCTCAGTGGCCTGACAGACGTGTATGCCGCACTCCAGGGAGATCAGGGGGACTGTCTCTTCATGGATATATCATCCGCATAAGCAGGACCCAGTCGTTCTCCAAATGCCGGGCACTCTGCCAGGGGCTGGGGAAATGGTGAGCCGAGAGGTCAGTATCCCTGTGCAAAGACAGCAACTGGCTTTCCTGCCAGCCGCTCTCACCAATAGCTTTTTTCCCAAACTCCCCTGGACCTCTCAAGTTCATGAATTTCCCTAGATGTCAGAATTACCATTTTCTTGCCCCGCTGGCTAGTTAAATAGTTTTTTTTAATCACCCATTTTCCACACTGACAATAATTCCATTGATCTCCAGGGTCTAGCTGGTTCCCAGATGAATCTTGCCCCGACACTTCTACCAGGCTGACAAGTCTCACACTGTGTCTCTAGCTCGGCTCAAGTACAGCAGTGGTCTTTGTTCACCAACACTAAGGGCACACGTTGGAGTCCACGATCAGATACCCAGACCCTGAGAGGAAGTGCAGAGCTAAGGAGCAGGGACATTCCAACCACATCAGATGGAAGAAGAGGCCCATGATTACAGGGGAGGCTTCCGTGATGGGAAGGGTACCAGGCTGCAGATGGCAGATAGGAGAGGAGACGCCAAGCTGCTGGCAAAGCCTTTGTCTAGCTGTCATGGGAAGATCCACACAGCTTTGTGCTCACAGAGTTCTGACCCAGGCTTCACAGCCCATGCTCACAAAGCCCAGAGGCCATGAGGACAGCTAAGACCAACCACATGCCAGCCGGGTTGCCCCAGCTGACTGCATGTGTAGTGAAGTGTAGTGGGTAGAGACGCAGTAGCAAGGAGATCCCCAGTCCTGTGATTTCTGGGTGATAGTTAACTGGGTGCAGGGCAACAGTGGACCTGTGGGGAAAATACAAACTGATAGAAGTTCAAGGGAGGCTGATGTGGACTCAGTTACTGTTCAAAAGAGTTATGGAGGGCCTCTAACCACCACCAGTGGGTAAATATGGAGGGCCTCTAACCACCACCAGTGTGTAAATATGGAGGGCCTCTAACCTTGATGGCTGGCTTAAGGAATGTAATCTAATGGTTTTTTAGCAAGGCAAGCAGATTAAGAGAAGGGCAAGACCTGTCAGAACCATGTTTGCCTTGCTCAGGCTGGTTAGGACCCCATCACTAAGAATAAAGGAAGCACTCAAAAGAGGTCGCTGCCTTGCCTCTTGGGCTCCATGTAACTATGCTGGTCCCAGGGATCCGGACCACTGTCTCCCAAGGCTTTGCAACTGCCTGTGTGGGAATAACATGTATCTGGACAGCCCAAGAGAACCCAGGTGTCCCCTGAAGCTTGCTACTCTCTTTACCTGACTTCATAGGGCCTGAGGTTCAGGATACCCTCATAGCTGACCAACGTTCAACCTGCGAGGCGAGACAAAGGAAACCCTAGCCTCTGAGATCCATTGTCATTCCTGGTGGAACAATCCACTCATCTTGGTTTACCTAGGAATTTCCAAATTTTCACACTGAAATTTCTGCATCCTGGGAGCCCACCCAGCCTTGGGCAAGCTGGGGCATTGTCCCTCATGGTGCCCCTGCATACAAAGATGTGCTGTTTGGTGTGGCAGAAACACAGAAGGGTGTCCATATTGGAGCAATTTACAATCCAGGAGACTTTTCTGGAAAACTGGAGTCAGTGTCAGGTACCTGTCCCTTCATACGCCCATTCACTGTGGTTGTGTAGGAACTAGACCAGCAGGCAGATGCCCAGGTTCTTACTGTGTAAATACAAATCGGCAGGTCCTGATCCAGACAGCTGATATACTGGGGGATATGCCCTGTCCCTCCATCCCCATTGTCATCTAGTCTGGACTTTTCCACTAACGCCCTTCCTTCTCTCCCATAAAAACCTGCCTTGTAGCAAAGCTGACTGCAGGATGATGCAGGCAGGCTGCCCCAGCGCCTGCTCAACTGAAGCTTCCATTTCTTCCCTCTTCCCAGGCCTGCCTCACGGCTTACCTGATTCATCTTTCTCCTTTCCCAACAGCGCCACCTAATGGCCACAGAGACACTCGGCCTTCTGCAGGACACATTACACCTGGCGTTACTCAGAAACTGCCTCACAGACTGGTCACAGCCAATAGGCCAGCCAGCGGTGCGGGGAATGGAGAGTAAACGTTGGTGCCAAGGAAACAGAAGCTGCAATGATTCCTGCAGGACACGTGGCGCTGCAGGACCTGTTCCGGATGCTATGTTTGATGGCTGGCACTGATCAACTTTTACTCCTTCGAATAAATTGGAGCAGAATGGGGAAGTCTCTGAACACATTGTTTTGTAAATCAGGATTAAAAAACTTTCAAACAAATGGCCTGGGTTATCATGGAATTTTTTTTTTTTTTTTTTTTTTTTGGTGTAGGGGGAGAAGGGGCTAAATTCTTTTCAATATTTCACTTTGTCATCTCCTTTGCACTTGAATTGCTTGTTGGTTGCCTATAGTTTCGTTTCTCTCTGACCGACACCAAACAACTTCGGCTGACCAATCACTAAAGCATAGCCACATCCAAAAACATAGTACAAGTTTCTTAACCCTTTAGCAGACCCTGGCAAAGCAACAAGTGGGAACTGTCGTTCATGCTGTTTGCTTTCGCTGTCTTACCCACCTCACGGACGGAAGACCCTGGGAAAAGGTGGTTAATGAAAAGCCCCAGGTGGTTAATGAAATGACCTGACTCTTCCTGAGTCTCAGGAGCCCATGTTAACAGAACCTAACAATAAAAATATTTCAGTATGACCAATAAGCATAGGAAAATACTGCTTAGCCCACTGTCCATCAGAGAAATAGAAATTTTAAAACCACCATGCGACATAGTACAATGACTAAAATGCCTGAAATTAAAAGGCAGAATGCCAATGTTGATGAGGCTCCAAGAGTGCAAACCGGAGCAACCACTTCAGAAAATTCTTTGTCAGTAATTACTGAAACCAAATATTTGCATAGCCGATAACTGCAGAGTTCCCTTTTAGCCATGGGTCCTGGGTGTGGGCCCTTAAAGTTTATACAGGATATTCGTTCCAGTGTTACTCCCAATAGCTAAAGATTAGAAACAGCCCAAATTCCTGCCAATGGATAAATAAGGACACCAATGCAGATGAGAGTCTACTGCACAAAGCAATATGGGTGAATCCCACAAAAATAATTTAAGGACGGAGTGCTGAACATTTCATTTTAGGAAGTGTTAGTTGAACCATAAAAAAAAATTGCTAGCTATGAGAGGCAAAGTTTCCTATGTTAGCCCATAAAATCTAGCCTAAGATGTTACTCAGTGGGAGGATCTTTAAAACTATTTTAAGCACACCATAGACTCAGGAATCAGATTGCCTGGATTTAAAACTCATCTTTCTCAATACTTG